GGAGCAGCAGGTCTTTTACAAAGTCTCAGCCCATCACACCCAATTCCTCCTCAACCTGACCTTGCACACTAATTTGCTGGCAGAGCGTTTCCGGGTCGAGTACTGGAAGCGGGACGGGGTTGACCAGCAGCATGAGTTCCATGAGGATTGCCACTACGCCGGCCACTTGCAGGATGAGTACTTGAACTCCAAAGTCGCCATCAGTAACTGCAATGGACTGGTAAGTGTATTGTCGAAGGCTTTCATGGCCGGAATCACTGGGTTGTTGTAGGTTTTTTCGGGCTATATGGCCATGTTCTAAAGGCATTCTCTCCTGACGTTTCACCTGCATCTATGGCAAGCATCTTCAGAGGTAGTGAGGTCTGTTGGAATTAGGAAAATGGGTTTATATATCTGTGGAATGACCAAGGTGGGACAAAGAACTGTTGCCTGCTGGAGCTAGGTGTGAATGTTTCAAGTGACCACCTTGATTAGCATTTGATGGCAGTGCCTGGGGCAATCTTTTGTTGAGAGGTGAATAGATGTCCTTGTTTGTTTCCTCTCTGTTGTTGTGCTGTTGTAATGTTAGAGTTTTTTTAATAACAGGTTTACAAATTAATTGGAACAAATCTGAAATGATGATATTTTCCCTCTGTTGTTTTGCTGTTGTCATTTTAGGGGTGTTTTTAATACTGTTAGCCAGATTTTGCTCATTTTCATGGTTTCCTCCTTTCTCTTGAAATTGTCCACATGCTTGTGGATTTCAATGGCTTTTTCAACCAGAGAAGTCAGCCATAGCAGAGCACCTGATGAACCAACCTGGACACAGCATATTATTTGAGAACACAGAAATACTGGACCACTTTCACAACCACTATGTCAGACTACACAGAGAAGCCACTGAAATCCATAAGCATGTGGACAATTTCAACAGAAAGGAGGAAACCTTGAAAATGAACAAAATCTGGCTAGCAGTATTAAAAAACTAAAATGACAACAGCAAAACAACAGATGGAAAACAATCAGGGACATCTAATCACCTCTCAACAAAAGATTGCCCCAGGCACTGCCAGGCCATCAAATGCTAATCAAGCTGGTCACTTGAAACATTCACACCTGGCTCCAGCAGGCAAGAGTTCTTTCTCCCACCCTGGTCATTCCACAGATATATAAACCCATTTTCCTAGTTCCAACAGAACTCACTACCTCTGAGGATGCTTGCCATAGATGTAGGCGAAACGTCAGGAGAGAATGCCTTTAGAACATGGCCATATAGCCCAAAAAAACCTACAACAACCCGACTGGTAAGTGGTTTCTTCGCTTCCGAAATACCTACTCTTTCCCTTTTTCTACCATGCACAATAGCTCCCTTCTCTTCTCCTGTGGCTGTGAGAGCTGCCTTTTCATGTAATACAAACAGCAATCTTTATTACGGTCCAAAGACCCAATTTTCTCAGCAGTGCAGTCTCTTCAGCGCCTTCCAGGCTGCCCAGTCTTCTGTGTGTCCAGGAGGGAGTCTCTCATCTGGTCTCAGCCACTCATTGAGGTTCTGGGTTTGGACTCTCACTTGCTGAGTTGTTCCTGCGAGTATCTCTGTAGATCTTAAGAAATTATTCTTAATTTAAGGTGTAGGCTTGCTGGCTGATATCTGAACAGAGGATGGGCCAGAGATGTCACTGCCTTGGTCCTTTCATTACTTGCTGCTACTTATTTATTTATTATTTATTTATTTACAGCTTTTATATTCCGCCCTTTTCACCCCGCAGGGGACTCAGGGCGGATTACAGTGTACACATATATATGGCAAACATTCAATGCCAGTTTTGACATACAACATATAGAGACATAGACAGAGGCTATTTCGCTTTTTCTGGCCACCAGGGGAGCTGTTGCTTTCATCGTCCATCTGCGACACTGATGAAGTACTTCCGCGTTCCCCGCATGCTTTTTGCTGGAGTCTTTTTTATGGCCTCATAAATTAGTTAATTTAGCCTCCCCACACTTTAAGGTGGTACCTAATTTCCCTGCTTGACAGATGCAACTGTCTTTCAGGTTGCAAAGGTCGGCAACAGGCTACACAATTGGTTGGAAACCCACTCCAACCCGGGTTAGCTTCGAACTCATGACCTTTCGGTCAGAGTGATCTTACTGCAGCTGACATTCAGCCAGCTGCGCCACAATCCCGGCGCTACTTCCCGACAGATATCAGGTGGTGCGATACCAGCTAAACAGTATAATTTCTCCAGTGATGTAGGGCGTAGACATCCTGTGATAATGCGGCATGTCTCATTAACAGCCACATCTAGTGTTTTAACATGGTGAGATGTATTCCACACTGGGCATGCATATTCAGCAGCACAGTAGCAAAGCGCAAGGGCAGATGTCTTCACTGTGTCTAGTTGTGATCCCCAGGCTGTGCCAGTCAGCTTTTGTATGATATTATTTCTAGCACCCGCTTTTTGCTTGATAATCAAGCAGTGCTTGTTATAAGTCCGAACACAGTCCAGAGTGACTCCCAGCTGTTTTGGTGTGCTGCAATGATCCAGTGGGGTTCCTTCCCAGATAATCCTCAAAGCTCAAGATGCTTGTCTGTTCTTAAGGCAAAAAGCACATGTCTGTGTTTTAGATGGATTAGGAGTCAACTGGTTTCCCCTCTAATAGGCAGTGAGAGCACCTAAAGCTTCGGAGGGCTTCTGTTCAACCATTTCATAGCTCCCTACTTGAGCGGTGATGGCACGATCGTTAGCATAGGTTAAACTCTCTGTCCCTTCTGGCAGTGACTGGTCAAAAGTGTAAATGTTAAGCACAGATGGAGCAAGCACGTTCCCGCGAGGCAGGTCGTTCTTCTGTCTTTGCCGTCTGCTTCTCTGAGCCTGGAACTCAACAAAAAAAGCTCCTAATGAGATAGGAGAGAGGAAGAGAGGCCAATAGAAGAGTTTTTTTTAAAAGGTTAAGCTTGAATTAGTTGCTAGTGTAATCATCCTGGGCTAAAGGGTGAATCACACCTGAGCCTAGTCTGAAAACACTGACCTTGATCCAATATTTAAAGGCCCACCACCAAGCTCTTGTTGATAGGGGGATTTTCCCCAGATTCTAACAGCAGGACACAGGATTGCTCACATCTGGGGAACTGGAAGAGGGTAAATACCTACCAAACAACTCCCACAAGTCTGGTTCATCCTCTGTCATCCCGCTTTCTTGGTTGCTTCTAAAATGTCCTGTCATCCCTGGTCTCCTCCCACTTCCGTCCTTGTAAAGAGGATGGAAATGTATAAAAGCCAGTGGAAAGTTAAGGCAGAGCGGAGGAGGGCTAGAGGACTCGAAAAGAAAGAATGAAACTCCTTGCTAGTCAAAACAGCAGCACAGTGGGGGTTTTCGATAGGAAATTGAAAAGATGAAAGTAGGAGATTCAAAAGGAGGGCTTTATTATCTCAATAGAAAGGAAGGGGAGCACAGGAAGAGGGGAAGAGAGGGGGAAATTGTTGTAATAAAGATAGATAAGAGGCACTGAGAGAAGGAAAATGGGTAAAAGGATTTACGCCCACATATTTTAGAAACATTAGAAACATCTATATATATATATAAATGCTCTGTGCATAATGAGTACCTTAAAAACAAAAGAACCAATGAACGAAATCACACCAAATTTGGCAACAAAATATCTCACTACAAGGAGTGACAATCACTCAAAAAATTATGATTTTGTCATTTGGGAGTTGTAGTTGCTGGGATTTATAGTTCACCTATAATCAAAGAGCATTCTGAACTCCACCAACGATGGAATTAAACCAAACTCGGCACACAGAACTCCCCTGACCAACAGAAAATACTAGAAGGGTTTGTTGGGTCTTGACCTTGGGTTTTGGAGTTGTAGTTCACCTACATCTAGAGAGCACTGTGGACTCAAACAATGATGGATCTGGACCAAACTTGGCACGAATACTCCATATGCCCAAACATAAATACAGATGGAGTTTGGGGGAAATAGACCTTGACATTTGGGAGTCATAGTTACCGGGATTTATAGTTCACCTACAATCAAGGAGCATTCTGAACCCCACCAACAATGGAATTGGGCCAAACATCCCACACAGAACCCCCGTGACCAACAGAAAATGCTGTGTTTTCTGGTGGTCTTTGGTGACCTTTCTGACACCCCCCTGGTGACCCTCCACCAGGGTTGAGAAATGCTGCCTTAAGGCCATCCAGTACAACTCCCTTCACCAGGGCAAGAAAACGTAATTAAAGCCCTCCTGACAAAGGGCCATCCAGCCATTCACACACACACAAATATATGTATATGACAGATGCAGTATCAAAGATTTGAAAGGGACCCCTAAAGAAGGACATATTGCATGTTCCAGAGTAGGCAAACCAGACAATCTCCACATCAACACTGGCAAAGAAACAGCAAGAAATACTGTTTACCCACAAGCATAAAGAAATCACATATATTAGAAACCAACACTTTCTCATTACTTTATTTTCCAGATCACTAGACTGGGCCACAGCAACGCGTGACAGGGGACCGCTAGTCTAGTATAAAAAGGCCAAGTTGCATCTCAGCCTCGTGGCACTATTTTTCTGGTTGCACACCCAATAGCTTTGCCCGGGCCATAATAATCTGTTGCATGTAATCTCCTCTTCTCTAGTGTCTGATTGAAACAGAGATACTAGGGGTTTTAGGGGCACTGAGCCTCAACACTGGAATGAAAAGAGATAGGATGCAGGCTTCAGATGCCTACTGGGTTAAGATTAGATCTAGAGATCAAGCTCAGGTTAAAGGTAGAGATAGGGTTATAGTTGGGGTTATAGAAACAGTTAAGGTTAGAGTTAGAGTTATAGAGTTAGGCTTATAGATAGTGTTTGAGTTAGGTTTATAGAGTTAGGTTTATTGATAAAGTTAGGGTTAGAGTTAAGGTTATAAAGTAGACTTAGAGTTAGGGTTAGATAGAGTTAGGTAGAATTAAGATTATAGATCGAGTTAGGGTTAAAGTTAGGCTTATAGATAGTTAGGGTTATACTTAGTGTTATAGATAGAGTTAAGATTATAGATAGATTTAAGGCTGGAGTTAGGTTTATAGATAGAGTTATAGACAGAGGGTTATAGTTCTGCTTATACATCGAGGTAGGGTTAGAGATGGAGTTACAGATAGGGCTAGAGATAAAGTTAGGGTTATAGTTTGGACTATAGATAGAGTTAGATTTATAGATAGGGTACAGGTTAGGGTTTGAATCAATGTTATACTTAGGGTTAGATTTATAAATAGGTTATAGATAGGTATATACTACTTCTTATACACAGAGTTACGGTTATAGATAGGGTTAGAGATGCAGTTAGAGATGGATTTAGAGACAGGGTTAGAGATGGAGTTCACAATAGGGTTCGAGATGGATTTAGAGACAGGGTTAGAGATGGAGTTAGCAATAGGGTTAGAGATGGATTTAGAGATAGGGTTAGAGATGGAGTTAGACATAGGGTTATAGATGGAGTTAGATATAGGGTTAGAGATGGAGTTAGAGACAGGGTTTGAGATGCAGCTAGAGACAGGGTTAGAGATGGAGTTAAAGTTAGAGATGGAGTTAGACATAGATTTAGAGATGGAGTTAGAGATAGGGTTAGAGATGGAGCTACAGATTGGGTTAGAGATGGATTTAGAGACAGGGTTAGAGATGGAGTTAGATATAGGGTTAGAGATAGAGTTAGAGATAGAGTTTGAGATGGAGCTAGAGATAGGGTTAGAGAAGGATTTAGAGAAAGGATTAGAGAAGGATTTAGAGATAGCGTTACAGATGGAGTTAGTGATAGGTTTAAAGATGGAGTTAGAGATAGAGTTAGAGATGGAGCTAAGGTTAGAGTTGGAGCTAGAGATAGGGTTAGAGATGGAGCTAGAGATAGGGTTAGAGATGGAGCTAGAGATAGGGTTAGAGATGGGTTTAGAGACAGGGTTAGAGGTGGAGTTAGAGATGGAGTTAGAGAAAGGGTTAGAGATGGGGTTAGAGACAGGGTTAGAGATGGAGCTTGAGCTAGGGTTAGAGATGCAATTAGAGATCGGGTTAGAGATGCAGTTAGACATAGAGTTTGAGATAATGATAGGGTTAGAGATGGTGTTAGAGATAGAATTGGAGTTAGGTCATGCAGTGGACCTCTCCTTTGATTTCCAGCATGGCGTGATCATCACGGACGAGGACGAGTACTTCATTGAGCCGCTGAATCCTGGCACCAACCTCAGCAGTCGGGATGAGCAGGAAGGACCCCCACACGTGGTGTACAAGCGCTCCTCTCTCCAGCACCCCCACATGGATGCCGCTTGTGGTGTGATAGGTAGGTCTTGGGGTCCGTTTGCCTTCAAGTCAATTATGGTGACTCTCAGATTTAATAATCCTCTACATTTCTACAAAAACCAAATATATTGGTCTAGAATGGGGGAGACACGTGCAGTTTAGGGAAAAAGAATGAGAGCTTCTTTTCATTTCAATGCCAGGAGCCCTGGGATCACGTTGCCAAATTCCGGAAGGAGGAGGAGGAGTAACAGGCGGGGGAACGTTTGCTGACCTGAAATGTCTGTTTCGGAAAAGAAAGAGTGCCAATCTGTTTCCAATTTGTTCTTTGAGAAGCAAGAACGGTTGGGTGGATGTGACCCGTGAATGAGGCCCCAGTTTCAGATCCAAATCCCAGCCAAAGCATTCATTAAAATAACAACTATTCGGGGGGTTGGTTGGTAGTCCTTAAAGGACCCCATTGACGTGAACTTGATTTGCCTTCTGCTCACCAACAAAAAGACCCAAATAAAGGGTTATTTATCAAAGCTGGACACAACTACTCTTTATATAACAGAACTAAGTCTCCCTGTGGGATTTGTAGCACTTTGTTTCCTCTGGGGAACTTTTTAAAGTCTCTCTATATGAGAAGGAGCATATGCCCTTTCTCTCAAACCCTTATCCTCTGTTGAGTCCCAATGCTATGTAATCTCTAAGTCTCTCTTTGGGACTTTTTCAGCACTAGGTCTCCCTGTTTTACCTTTTGATTTCCCTCTCTATGTGATATATAGCGGTGGGTACTTCTGTGGGGTCACTTTAACCCTAAATATTAGAGGTGTGCGAAGTGTCTGAAACCGGATTAGTAATTCATTTCAGAGATTCAAAGATTCAGTAAAGATTCAGAAGGGTCCCATTTCATTTCACAATCCAACTCTCCGAAGCTTTGTCATTGTTTCGTCAAGATTTGTTCCATTATCAGCAATTGGGAAAGATTTCAAGGCTGGTTTCTCCATCATTTTTATAGTGATCAGGATGAAACTTGGCACACTTGTAGGCAACATTTCCAACTTTAAGCCTGCCAAGTTTCAGAACATTTTGGTCATCCTCTGATCTTAAGGAATTTTTAAGGCATCCACTTGAATTTCTGCACAATTAGACAATATAAGCAGGGCATCAATCCTGCAAAGTTTCAGAAAGATTCATTCCTTTACTGATTTTTAGGAATTTTAAAAAGGTTTTTTAAAGGACAAGTCTTTTTCTTTCCCCTACTAACTCTATAAAGAAACACAGACATTGATGGGAGGAGACCAGCTTTTCAGAAAGCCATGTGATTGGCTGCCAAGGGGGGGGGGGGGACAGCATGCAGCTGTTGCTGTTAATCACATCAGCCCCTTTCCCATCCAGAAAATTACGGAGTATGTTACATTGAACAAAAGCACAGTTTGAAATTCTCCAAAACAACAAATCTTTTCTAAACTCTATGAGGATGTAACACGAGCATCTGCTTGTCCAATTTTGATGGATTCATTTCAATTGGTTCAATCCGAGGATGTGGACAAGGTGCTTGGAGGAATGAGAGCTACCACATGCATCCTAGACCCCTGCCCATCCTGGCTTCCCCCCCCCCCCCCCCCGCTCCCGGAAGATCTATTTTGTTAATGACTCTGCAATAAATATATTGTTTTTATTATTTAAAAAAATCTTTTTTGAACTTTGCAAGTTTGCTATCAGAGATTGGGAGCAGATCAGTAGCATCGTCACTCCACAAAGAGTGAAGCTTTAGTAACCCTTTAATAAATCGTCTCTCCTTTCCTTAACTTTCTGTGTAATTTGTATCTTTCCATGTACTGTATCTATTTCTTATATAAAAACTGTATAAACTTCTTTTAAAAATGTAACAAGATGTAGCCTAAAGACATAGTGGATGATCTGCGTCGGGAGCTCGACAGGGGGAGTGTGTCCCTGTGGGTGCTGCTCGACCTCTCAGCGGCCTTCGATACCGTCGACCATGGTATCCTTCTGGGACGCCTCGCGGGGATGGGTCTTGGAGGTACTGTTCTGCAGTGGCTCCGCTCATTCCTCGAGGGTCGGTCTCAGAAGGTGTTACTGGGAGACTCCTGTTCAACCCCACAACCTTTGTCTTGTGGGGTTCCTCAGGGTTCAATACTGTCTCCCATGTTGTTTAACATCTACATGAAGCCGCTGGGCGAGATAATCCGGAGTTTCGGAGTGCGATGTCATCTGTACGCAGATGATGTCCAACTCTGTCACTCTCCTTTCCACCTGCTACTAAGGAGGCTGTCGAGGTCCTGAACCGGTGCTTGGCCGCTGTGACGGTCTGG